GTACTACAATATTTCACAGTAGTTATGTTTTAACTACTCAAATGTCCAATAGAACGTAATTCAAAACAGCTAAAGAACGCTAATCCGCGAATTCGCTACAATCAACAAGAGCAGTTTTCTAAACAACAACAAACTAAGCAGCAACTACGAACTGAGATGTTTTCCTCCTTTTATAAGATTTTAAAATCACGCGCTAGAATTTTCCAGTACTTTCTCGAAATCAAAAAGAGATATTTATTTATTTAATGCACGCGCTCTTGTATTTTCAATTTTCCGGCTTAGCTTTCTTTTAATATTCGTCACGCGCTGCACTGCGCGAGAAATAAAACTATTTAATTTATAATTGAACTAACATTAGCTTTTTAAATACCAAATTCGTAACACTGCCCCCTTCCCAAGGACTATACGTCCCGGGCAGTACAATCCCTGGACAGGAAGCTAAACTTACAACTGTACCATAAATACATTAATAAGCATTACATTACAATAATAAACAACATGAACAATAAATGCAATACATAAAACAAATCAAATGTTATCAAATACAAATCAAATACTAAATGCAAATCAAATACTAAATACAAATCAAATCAAATACACAATTTAAAAACAAAATGGAAAATGGTCTTATACTATTTACAATTATTTACATTATGTACTATGGCCATAGTAATGAGCTAATCTGTCGTAATATCAGGTTTAGACTTTAGGATTAGAGTTCGAAGAATTACGAATCCGAACTACGACGTCATTCGTGTTCAGCACTGTATATGGACCATCCGAAGGTGACTGTAATTCAGGCCTGACTCCTTTTCGTCGAATCGGGTTCCACAACCACACCCTGTCTCCTTTGTTGAATCTATGTCCAGTAGCTCTCGCGTTGTATTTGGTCTTCACTTTCTCCGTCGCCAAGTTCACTCGCTTTCGTGCGGAACGGTGCATCACTTCAAAACGGGCCTGGACATCTTGGATGTGTTCCTCAGGCGATGAAGGCGCATCCGTATGGCGATCAAACAGGTGGTCACAAGGCAGATGAAGGTCTCGACCGGAGAGCATCTGTGATGGTGAATACCCGGTAGTCTGGTGTTTCTCTCCGACCCTAGGAGGATTTCGGCAGCTTTCCCGAGCTAGGTCGACATGACAAGACGTCGGCGTTTCCATGCGATGGATTCCTTTTGAAGATGGATCGTCATGGCTTCAGATGCTGAGAAGCAGCTTATTCTTTTTGAAATCTGAAGGAAAAATTGTGTTTCCGATTAAAAAGTCCAATCCGAGTATGCATGGATCTGTAATATCCGCCACATATGCCGTGTGATTGTAGGCGGCACTTCCAAACGTGATGTTCACGTTTAACTTCCCAGCTATCTCGATCTTGTCATCAGACGCAGTCTGAAGGGTAACGCAGGATGGCGTCCAAATAAGTTTATCTTTAAACTGTTCAGCTAAATCTTTCCTAATGATGGTAACATTAGCTCCTGTGTCAATGATCATATTGCAAGGAACTCCATCGATATGCCCCTTGATGGACAGTCCGTTACTGTTGCCACTCACCGTAGAAATCTTGAGTGCTTTAAAACAAGGTTTTTCATTATCTGGCAACCTCCGTTCCTTGATATGTTCATTTATTTGTTTCCTGCGTCGTTGCTGAGAAATGGTCTCAATGTTCATACCCTGGGGTGTTCTGCAATTCTTTCGTACGTGGCCTTCAGCTCCACAGTTCCAGCACTTTGGTTTCTTGTCAATCCTTTTCCTTCCCATGGCATTTAATTGTCTGTTTGAATCGTATGCCTTATTTTCCGTGCTCTGGGGTGTTCTGCAGTTCCTTTGTATGTGGCCTTCAACACCGCAGTTCCAGCACTTTAGGGTCGGTTTCTTTTCCCCACTATTCCGTTTTAAGGCATTCACTGGTCTTTCTAACTCATCCGTTTTATTATTCGTGCCCTGGGGTGTTCTGCAATGCCGTCGTAGGTGACCTTCAGAACCACATCTCCAACACCTTCGATCCACTTTGTTCTCACTGCTACTCCGTATCAAAGCGTCGACTTGTCTGGATAAATCATCTAAACGAGCCATCAGTTGATCCACTGGCTCGTGGACTCGCATAGCTCTGAATGGGTAGCGGTCAGTATGAGTTGCTTGCTGGGCTGCCTCGAATTTCATGGCTAACAACAGAGCACTTTTTATATCCTTCACATCCGCTATTCGTATAGCTTTCTGTATTTCAGGGTCCCGGATGCCATTGATGAAATACTGCAGGGACAGGATTTCCTTTGTTTCTGTCGGGCACTCCGAAAAGGCGTGATGTGACAGCCTTTCAACATCCGTGGCGAGTTCCTGAAGTGTTTCGGTGGGCTTCTGTTGACGGGATTTTAATTGAAGCCTGCTGTAGTCTTTTAAACATTTCTAGCCAAAGCGCAGCTCCAATGCGCTGGATAGAGCTTCGAAGTCAAGTCTTTGGTTTTCGGGAAGAGTCTGAAGGATATCCGCTGCGTCGGCTCTTAAAGAAGCGGCGAGATGACAGGCCTTAGCTTGGGAATCCCATCCATTCGCATCCGCCACGATAGAAAATTGTGTCTTATACACTTGCCAGGATGTCTTCCCCTCATATGTGGATAGCTTCAGACGTGAACGAGCAAGCATCGGTAAGAATTTAAAATCATCACTCCTGCTCCCTGCCGACGCTACGAATTTCTTTAAAGTATCCATTTCTCTGGCAACTGCAGAAACTCTCTCATCAATTTGTTGTTCGATTTGTTGTTTAACGGAACAAACTCTTCCTTCTATTTCTTCTTTGACTGAATCAACTCTGTAACCTATTTGTTGTTCCACGGCCGAAACTCTGTCTTCTATTTGCTCTTTCACAGAAGAAACGTTTTTTTTTCAATTTGTCCAACTTTAATTTCGACCGCGTCTATTCTGCTTTCCATAGCCTCAAATTTATTTTCTATTACGCAGGTAATTTATCTTTTCATTTCGTCCTGACCAGCTTTCATCTCATCTTTAAGGGATTTCATCTCTTCCTTAACGGATTCCTGGCCCAATTTCATTTCCTCTTTAATTTCTTCTTTAAAAGATGTTTGGCCAGCTTCCATCTTTTCTTGGAACGCAGCAAAAGCAGTAATGAGCTCTCTCAATTGTTCTTCCATCCCTCTTGTTATTGGCATTCAAATCCCACCGCTGCCACCAAAAATTGTTGCGTGCGTAAGGGTTCGTTATGAAATGAATGCACAAGTCCGATGAAAAATGAACAAAAATTTATTATTATCACAACAAAAATGCTTAAATTTTCTCAAATTATCATGCAGTATTACAATATTTCACAGTAGTTATGTTTTAACTACTCAAATGTCCAATAGAACGTAATTCAAAACAGCTAAAGAACGCTAATCCGCGAATTCGCTACAATCAACAAGAGCAGTTTTGAAAAATAAACATGTATTGTGCTAAAAAACGCGTAATTTACTGTATTCGCCAATAAACATGTATTTTAATTATTAGGGCAAAGCTCTCAAAGGCTGCACGCTTATGGAATGGATTGCCATCGATGAAGGCTCATTAAGGAAAACTGGCCTCCTTTTATACTACACCGAAATAAATCACGAAATTTAAATTTTTGATTTTTAATTTTTAATTTAGCAGTCCGTTTCATTGACATGAATCAAGCACAGGTCTGAAATACTAGCGTTTTATACTATTTTCCAACACAACCGATAATCGGTTCTTGCTGACATAAAAAGGCCATCATAATTCACGAATAATCCATCCATAATCATCTTTCTTAGTTGCTATATACTCAAATTTTAAGCAAAAGTGTTGATTATGAAATAGTGCTTTACTAAAGATAGCACAGATTTCAGTAGATATTTAAAAATCATTATTTATGTGCAACCGCATGCATCAAGAGAATTACTTCAATTTAAGTAGAAATAAATAAGAAAAGTAGAACTGCCAGTAGGTGATAATCGCTGTCGTCGTGGTCGTGATTGTGGCTTTACTATTCTACAATTTTGCTCTTCTATGACGTGAGCGACTCCAAGTCTAACCAAAAGCAACTACATTTGTGGCTTCCATCTCTCACTTTTAGTATAAGTAAGTGACGTCTGTGTTGGGAAGAGCATAATTTTGTTGTCAACTGACCTTGCTTGCTGGTAAAAAAATGGCAATATTTTCTAGTCTAATATAATCTTGTTTACTACTTTTTTAACGCCAACTTGCAGTATTAGAATTAATTACGGATAAGGCTTTTATTAAGCATAACCCAGCTTATTTTAATATCAAGTTAAGCAGTTTCTATGAACAATAAATGTTTCCGATAACAATAGTGTACTTCTATAATTGTTAAACAAAAGCCTGAATGGACTGTACTATTGAATCCGCCTAGCATCTAGAAGAAGGACTGCCTTCGTGGAAAATTTCCGAGAGAAACTGGTTCTTACTTATGTTGCACATGGAGAAACAATTAAGGCAACAAATACACTGTTCTATTTGCCACCGTTAAACAAAATGTAATTGTTCTTGCAGTCATAAAATGCATGCAATAAAGTCGTTTTTATTGTATTATAACTGCGTGTGTAGTTGCATTAATTATGATTATAAGAGGAAAGTAATTAAAATATAATTAGCAAATTTATTCAATACTACACGCTATTTAAATTTGAAAAATGAATTTTAATTTTTTTTTGTCTATTTCCGAAAATGCACTATGCTCCAGGGCCTGTGAAAGGTAAAATACAGTCTTTTGTTTTGCCCAGTGAAAACACTTGCCGAGGACAACTTCTAGATTACTTCCATTCTTCTCATCCGTCTTGAATGTAACTGCAATTACAATATAACTAAATTACTTGTAATTACATATGTATTGTAATTTCCGGATTTGTATTTACAATTACATTGTAATATTAATAATAATCAATAACTTTGGAATAGAATAATATACAGCAGTGTTCAACATGCAACAGCAATTAACATACATCTAGTTCGATCACTTGACGTTTACCTACCGCGGTTTGAGTGCGAAAGTGGTGCAGGATTCGGCAACTTGTAGGCAATATTCTGTGGTAGATCTACTGACCTTTTTCTCATGTCTCTCTTAAAGGAGGTAGCGGGGCACTCGGAGACACAGCTCGAGTTGCAGAACATCTACCTGAAGTAGAAAAAAAAAAAAAAAAAAAACACTGCAGTTAATTCTTGCTAGTATATACACATATATAACATTTTGCATAATCTAAGGAACTCTCTGTCAAAATAAGCAAAGCCATAGCTAAGAGAAATAGGAATAAGCGGAAGACGCTCTTTGACATGAAATAGAAGTAAAAAAGGAACACTTATGTAGTGTATAAGTCTTATTATTAAAGCAAAAGAAACTGACAGTAGGAATAACAAGTTGTAAAAGAGGCCTCTTTATTCGACCTTCGGTCAGCCGCATAATTCGATTCACTATTCCACTATATCCGATACATCAAAAACCTTAATCATACTAAACAATAACTTATTTGTATTATTAATTTATTCTTATTTCTGTACTGTATGGCTCATTCGTTTATCCATGCTACCTCTGAATGAGTCACATTCTCAGAATTAGAATCGTAACTATTTCCACGTAACCATTATCCTGACACGAACTAGCTTTTCACAAAAGAAGCTTTTTGAACTTTACATAGTACATATTACAATTGCCTTTCATATCAACCACAATAGTTTTTTAATATTTACAATTTTTATACTGTGCATTAGGCACCAAATAGGCTTGTCTTTATTTTTTTTAATAGAATAGTTTTGCCATTGCAAGCATAAAACTGTGAAGCATAAAACATATAAGGAAGTTATTTTATAACATATAAGGAAGTCATGATGCAATATATTTATTGTATTACGAGAAATTTGAGCGGAATATTGTCTCTGAAGGTCTACATGTTACTTTTTTCAATGGCGGGCGATTATAGGCGATGGCCAGTATTAAGGCCGGAAGCGGCGATCACTTTGTTAAGGTAGCACCTAATAGGCAGGCCACCGTTGCCTCTTGTGAAGAGACAGGTAATTTACATCTCTGCCTTCTTCGGGATTCGAGCCCGGGCACTTGGGTAAGGCAGTCAGTGCCACTAACTGCCTTACCCAAGTGCCTGGGCCTTGGTCCAAGTACCAATAATTCCTGCCCGGCACTTGGTCCGGGCCCGGGACCAAGAGCTACTAACTGCTTTACCCACTTTCCCGTTTAGGCGGCACGTATAGTTTGTTGTGGTACACTTTTACGAGTAGAAAATATCAAATAAGAAAAGATATAGTTTTGTAAAGAATAGCACTGTTATGTAAATACAGTTGCTTTAGAAGGAGCAGATTTATAATAAAGAGGTATAAGTAGCGTCTCGTATTTCGCAGTTACTTAAGGTTAGACATGCAATATTTAGTAAGAACTGTTAATTTACAATAGTATATCATACTTGCTTTCTGAATTAGTTCATTGCTAGAAATTTCATAAATTGCCTATGGTTAAATGCAAATACAGTAAACGTTCGTTGATGCAGCACACCTTTCACGTATAGAATCTTTCTTTCTTTGGCCACATAAACTCTACTAAATCCTACTAAAGGAACCTGGCAACTTCTCTCACAGGTGTGAAATAATATCAGCACAGAAGAAGGATGAAAATAACTCTTTATTATTCTCAACTATGAACAGAAGGGCAGGTACTTCGTGCTTTACAATAACACCGACAGCTTGCGATGGAACTTAAGAATAGTTATGCAATAAATCCAAGTCTAAAGAGTAGTACTGGATTAGCACCTTAAGTTAACGCTAACTAGTTTGACTCAACAACCTACCTGGTTTGATAGTTATTTAAATGGCCAAAAAGGCGTATCAACAACTCCGCGTAACAGCAAAGTCAGAATCGTAACGTGCGCTGGCTAGCGGAAACACGCTCTGAATAAACTCCAAGATTCACCCGTTTAAATAATCACTTCACTTAATTTCAAACTAGCATCCTGGCGAGGAAATGCGAGGGGAAGTTGAAGAGTTCAAGAAAGATAACACAATTTGAACAATTGATTAACTGAACTAAGTGGAAACCCTACACACAACATAACGCAATTCATGAGAAGGTATAATATACCTATATTTATAGTTTTGGATAATAAGGAGTTATTCAAAATCATAAATGCAGATGTAGTAAATTGTTTATACAAAACTTATCAAACACTGATGGTTCTCTCAAGGTCTTCTCAGTTCATCACTAAAGATGAATTTTCACGTCTATTAATGCTTGCAAATACGCAAACAGCACCCCATTACAAAAAGTCCATTGTGATTTCCAGTCCAAATTCCAGTCAACAAAATTTACTGAAAGTGACGAATATATTGATGATCCAACCATTAATGAGTTACTGAAAACAGCTGCAGGTCTTCGAACAATCCATTAATCACGTTTGGAATTGAAGGTATTCGAAGTGATAAAAATGAATTAATACAGAAACATTAACAGAATTTAATGGTGGACTGTAGAGGCTTTTGTCCATCCGATTATGAAAGTACGTTCTCCCGCGTGCAGTCGTCTTCCTGTTTCCATATATATATATATGTATAGTATTTTTACTTAAATATTTCCTTGTCACTTCTCTTAGGTATAGTTCTGTGTCCATAGCGCGATAGTGGGATTATCACATCTTAACAAAGAGTGAGGCTAGGCGAAATTTTTCCGAGAAACGCATCGGTATGTATGAAAAGGTTGACCTGGTCAAAGAAGCTGGTGAGAATAGAAAAACAGAGGTTAAAGGTTCCACCTCGCGAACTTTGACCTTGTTAGTCAAAATTGGGATAGAAGCTTATATAGATTGGCTTTTGTATATTTTACCTGAATTAAACAACCCATTCCTATCCAATCTAGTTCCTTTCTAAGTTGATAGCAAAAATGTCGTGTGATGTAAATAATTATCCAATTTATATATTCTTCTGTAAAATGACAGAAATTCTTTAAAATAATACAGCGTATTCATGGTTTCTGTGGTTAGTTAATAAAAGGAAAGTTAATAAAAATATGCCTATTAATCTTAACTTTTTCGTATCTGTGAAGCTAAAATGATGTCAGACGTTAAATTGTGAAAAGTATCATTTGATCTAGAGAATGAAATAAAATGTTAAACAAATTATTCACATTAATTTTGTTTCCTTTAATTCTTTTCTAAAATATTCGTAATAAAATGAAAAAGCTGTTTTTACGATCTGTGATTTATTTTCATACGCTATAGCTTTCTTGAATTCTTTATTAAAATGATGTGCAGTGATAATAAATGCAGATATGTTAAAATAATTTAATTAATTTTTAGTTCATTTAAATTTTAATTTTGTGAAACTTTAGAATGCGATAAGGATTAAACCAATATGTTTCGTGATATCTCATTAATTTTTATAAAAATAGAAATAAAAAGTACTTTCTTCGAAATGCGATCGCACCTTCGGAAAGCGATCCAGAAGATTCTCAAAATTATTTTACGTTAACTTAAAATTAAAATATTCTCAGATATTCATGAAAAGTAATTACAGCGGCTACTAACTCTTATGATAATCATTCCGGCAAGTTAATAATGTGATCCGATTTATTTTAATTTTATTTTATACTTACGGAATCTTTTTTTTTTTAATATTTTTCACACTGCACCAAAATATCATTCTTTGTTTACCTAATTTATCTAGAGAAGTTTTACGTAAATCTTCCAAGATTTCCTTGAAGCGAGAGATATTGAGTAAGAGATTTCTAATGAACTACAAGTTTTAAGCATTTTTAATTAAAAATGAAATTGATTTTAATTTCATCTCGGTGTTACGCAGAAAAACGTTAATATACATTTATTAGCTGTGAAAAGTCGAAATAAAATTTCACTAAGTTACTGTAATGTAAGGAATTTAAGTTAATTAGTTTTTAGTTTATGCTTTCTGATCATTTCGTGAAAGACTTAAGAATAAAAAACATTAACGAAACATCAATAACTGTTAAAATTTAGCTTGTAATGCCCAGCTCATTTCGTGTAATCATTCATTTGTCTTTGCAAACTGATTTTATCTGAAACCAAGAGAAAAAAAAAATGCATTTTTCCTGCAGTAAAATAATCTAAACTGAAACCGAGTTTAATCCAGGTATAAATAACCATCAAACAGACATCGAGAGTGTGAGACAGATATGCGTTTTCTGACTTATCTTATTTGTTTTGCAGCAACATCAGAATAAGCCCACAAAATTCATCGTAGCAAGGAGTGCAAAACTGCGCCTGTCGTAGGCAAGAGCCTTGAGCACCATACGGTTGACAGTACCGTTTGCTCAGTTTGCCCCCCCCCCAACTCTGATGGAGAGCAACCCGGGGGGGAGGGAAGGGTCTAAGGGTCTCCTACCCCTCTTTCTCTAGCACTAACCTCTTGAGATGATTAAAATGATGCATGACTTCTCCTGGATTCAAACTCTAGCCCTACGATACGGCAGTTAAATTCACTAACCACTATTCCGATTGGGCCACTGAAACAGATATAAAATTAAGGAATTACCTTGCATTTATTGCCCACAATAAATTACATGTATTCTTTAATACAAGACTAGCTTTAAAAAGTCATATTTAGACTTAATTTTGACTGTTGCGTACGAAAGAAGTATTCTTGTTTCTTCCAAAACAGCACAGCCATACACATAAGGGATGACCTCTGGTGCACAGGCAGGTCTTCCACAACAGCATCTAACGCTTTTATTAAAGAAAACCCACAAGAATTAGAGCGATCCTACGAAATTGTCCATTGATGGATAATTCTGTAGGGTATAATAATTCGTAATAGTCCTGTTCTTATTCTTTTAATGGCTGCCTTTGGGAAAATTTTGTATGTGAATTTTCCCGGTTTTGCTAGAATCCCATCTTTCTTGCCACATATATACATCATTTGTTCATTCAGATGAATTTTTACAGCGTTTTCAAAGCTTGGCGAATACAGTACATCAGTGTGACTTTTTGAATGTTGTACGTTTTGCTGCCAGCTCATTGCTCATCATAACGACATTTGCTAAATTGTAGTGAGTTTTAACAGAAAACATTTCATTATACTACCTCTACAATAAAAGCAGCCGATTTCTTGTCTCATGCGTCAGTTGGTAGGTATTTTGTTAAAGTAAATGGAATACTATACCAGTTTGCACATTACTCATGAAATTATAATTGCACTATTATTACTATTTTGCTTAAAAATAATCCGTATTTATTTCTATATTTAGGTACAAAAATAAGTGGCAATGGTTATCTAAAACTGTCGTGCTATTTTAAATAGCGGTGCTTCATTTAATACTGGCAAACAAAGTTCTCTAAATTGCTCAGGCTGCAGCTCTTAGATCTCCTATAAAAGAAAGGGTTTATTTTGCAACGAGACCAATCGGGCATTTCCGCATTTGGTAAATGCTTAATAAAAAAT